CCTCATCTTCTTGAACTTCCCACGCTCCTGTTGGGGGCTAAGAACATGCTTATCTCCCTGAGCCTGGCCTTCATAAGTCCATTCCATCACACTGAGTCTCTCAAGTACAGAATGAATGGATGGATGGATGGATGGATGGATGGATGGATGAATGAATGAATGAATGAATGAATGAATGAATGAATGAATGAACTGAAATTACAAACTTGTCCAGTGCTGGGATTGGAACATTGAGATAGCTTATTGAGAAAGACTTTTAGTATTCTAGATAATGACAACAGATCTGAGAACCAAAGTGCAGTAATATTATCTTTGATTTAGTAAACAACTAAAGGATCATTCATTTTGTTTTCAGACCGATAGAGCGCTTTGATCGGGAAAGGCCAGTGAGAGGTCGTGGAGGAGGAAGAGGTGGGATGCAGGGCAGAGGCCGAGGTGGTGGAATGAACAGGACCTTCAATGGCTTTGATCAAAGAGGGAAGCGGGAATTTGATCGGCAGAGTGGGAGTGACAAAACGTGAGTGCTGCTTTGGATGTGCATTTTCAGTTTCTTAATCAGTCTTGGATTTTGAACAAATTGCTCATTTTTTAATGTGAAGCTGGCTCCCTGTCTATTATCCTTTTGTCAACAAACAAAATATTTATATTCAGGCAGGAGTTTGGCATGAAAATTGGCTTTGCTGTTCTGAGTTTTAATTAGTTGATTTCTGTTTCTTTTTCATGCATTTGTTTCATTAATGCATGAAACTTTTAATAACTTTTGGCTGCTGTCCTGGACGTCAGCTGGTCCAAAAGGTGGGTTTTATATTTACAAAATAAATAATAGACCTATAATAACGATTCTGAGCAAAAGTGGTGGGGAATGCTAATGCTTTTGTAGAATTTCATCTTTTGTACCTCAGCTTTTTCTAGACTTGATGCTCTCCAGATATGGACTTCAGCTCTCAGAATTCTCAGAAATAACCATGTTGGCTGCAGAATTCTGAGAATGGAATTCTACACATCGGGTCAGGAAGTGATCTCAAATTGGTAAAAACCTGTTTAATTCTGTGTATATACATGATTTAATTTCTAAGAAAACTGAATTTTCTATCTATAGAGGAGTCCGTGCAGAAGATAAAAGGGGTGGAAGTGGACCACGTAACTGGGGAGCTGCTAAGGATGATCTGAGGTATGAGAAATGTGTTTGCAGCTTTCCTAGACTTGATATTATTGAGAGCATCATTTCCAGGTCTTACATAACATTAAAGTTACTTATTTTAACTATCAGAAGCTCACTGAAGAGAAGTATCCTGTCCCTTCCCTATCCTTTTGAAAAGTCTTTTTCAGAGAGTTCAGTGCACATCTGAATAATGTGAGATGTATGGGGTCACTTGTAATGTAATGCATGAGGACCATTGGGGAAGGAAAGGGATGAAAAATTGTTATTGGTGAATTTCCTTAAATAAACTCACCTTAGGGCCAGCCTGAATTTTAGGCTGTTCCTCCTTTACTCTTGCCCTTCCCCCACAGCCTCTTGCATCCCTTTCTAGGTTGAAACATTCATTTAGACTAATCTTGCTGCAGCAAGCGGTGCAGAATTTATTTTTCCCTAAGGCCTCTTTTTCAAGGGGCTTTGGCAGAACTGAGACACATCTGTCTTTTTTTGTCTTAGTTTCTTTCTCAGCTCTTATAATCCTCGAACATTTGGATATTTTATTCAGCTTTAATCTACTGTATCCTTTCCTCTGCATTTGGAAGCTACGATTTGAACAGAAAGACATGCCTGGTCTTGTTTTGCTAAAAAACCTGAAGTTCCTGTAATAAAAGGAAATAGCCTTGTGGTTACATTTATGTGTGGGGGTTCTTGTTAAATGTTCTCTCATGCAAGAGCCAGAAAAATCCTCTACTCCAGACCCTGAAGATGGATGGTTTTCTTAAGTTCCAGCTCAAATAATTCAGTATGAAAGATTGTAATGCAGGAAGGAAAAGTAAAGATTTGTATACGCTATGTCTGTGGCAAAATGAAATGGTTAAAATGTAAATAGAAAAATGACCTCTAGCTATATTGGTCAATGGTAACTGTCTTGAAAAAAGGGGTATCGATGACAGAAGCTAAATGCTTGTATCTCTTTGTTGGCTTTGGGCTACAGGAATGGACTAAGGAAGAAGAGTGGGCATGTATTTTCTGTGTTTTCATGTGATGAGATTTGTGTAGCCTCTGTTAAGTTGATGACATACTATTCCTGAGATTCAGACATGCATAATGCAGCATGCTATTTGCAGGTGTTTATATTTTGTGAGCCCAACCCTAGACTGTGAGGCAGCTTTCCCCAGCCTAGTGATATGAGAGGATGTAGTTATAGAAGGGTGAGGAATTACATTTTTGTTTAGGCCATATTAAGAATCCTGGCTACTGTAGCTTTTGTATTTCAGGTGGTTTCACTCTGTGCTTTAATATTTCTGCAGTGAGCTGGAACAGACTGCTCCTATGGAAGAGACTGCAGAAACAGAAGACACCCCAGGAGCACCTGAGGGAGAACCTCCAATGAAGTATGGACTGGTTTTGAGAATCTTGCTTTTGTTACTCCTTAAATATGTATCAGAACATCTGGCCACTTGCATGGAAGTTTATTCCAACTGTATGCCAAGTGGACCTGATTTCAGCACGGCTGCTAGAAAATGGAATTGATCCTGGTGCATTATAACAGTGCTTTAATGATGTCAGTTGTAGACTGAACTTTAGAAGTTGTTGGAATGGTTGAAAAATATGTTGTGGTTTGCACAGATGGTTAGTAAAATGGTTTATATCAGGCTTTGCCAGCTGGTATGCCATGCTGTCAAACAACTAATAGGCTGTAGTTTTCTTGGATAGACTGCAAAACATATCTGTTAAACCATGATAGGCTACCATATATGAGCCTTAAGAAAGCTAGGTAGGACTCTAGAAGCAGAACACTGTGTCCAGTGAAGCCTTTTCAGTGTCCTTTACTGGCCAACCAGTGCATGGCCATCCAGTGCATGGACACTTACTCTGGCATTGTTCTGATTATTTGTTTCACAGAATCCCTGCAGTTGTTGTCTCTCCATCCTTTGTTTTGCTACGTGATCCACTTGCCTCACATGGCTGTGTTGAACTGAAAGAAAGTTCTGGGGTGAAATCCGGTGTTACGTATTATAAAATTAGAATTGGCTAAATAGAATATTTGGATGATTTTTTTTCATAACAGTTGCTGCAGATAGTTCCATCAGACACCTAACAGTAATTTGCATGTCTATTTCCTTATCTAAACTATGTTTTATATATAGATAATTTATATAGATATATATAAAATTATAATGCACGTAATTTTCTTGGCATCTGAAATCAAGAATCTGATTTATTTGTTCTAAAGATTTTCTTGGTAATGAGAAAACTAACAAAAGTTCAAGGCACAGGTTTCCCTGGAGGGCAGAGTACATTTACCACACCTTCCCTGGCCTCTGTTGCCCTCTACAACTGTTGCAAACAATTGAAGTGGGGAATTTTGGAAAGTGGAATCCAAGGTATCTAGTGAGTACCAGGTTGAGGAAGGCTGTATTTGCATATTATTTTGACCACTTTTCAAAAATTAATTTCCTTTTAATTTAATTTTAATCTTGTTGAATGAAAAATAAGGGCAAATAAGAAACCTGAATCAACCCTCTATGTCCATCTTTGAATGAGACATTTTTCTTTTCAGTTGTGAGAAAATGTTCTAATTACTGCCTGAAGCCAGTGTTAAGAGTTCTAGTTTATTGGGATGGCTTGTAAATACATGGATGGATGGATGGATGAATATGGTACAAGATATAGATAAGTTATGCTGAGTGTTTCTTGTATGTAGCTATGAAATAGGGGTGGGGGGGTTGGCTGTTGAGTTTATGCTATTTGTAATGTAGTATGCCAAATAACATGAACATCAGTATAAGCTCCAGACTTTGTGTGCTAATTGAATCCATTTCAGTATATGGGAACTGTCTGCTTCATTTCAGTTTGTATTTTTTTCCTGTACTGTATGCTTCTGTTAATCTTCACCTATGCTATCATTTTTCTACAATGGAGATGAGTTTTTAATTCAAATATCAAATATTTCTTTGATTTTCCTATCTCATTTGTTCTGCCACTGATATCTTCTTAATATTTGTTTTTGCTTTAATCTGCATTTATATTACCTTTTTTTTTTTTTTGCCATCATGGTAAGAAAAGAAAAGAAGGAATAGCAAGAGCCCCAATAGAAAACTCTGCTCTCCGTATAAATGAATTCGGCATTGAATTGGTAACAGAATGGTTGCCACAGCTGTAAAATGTCTGTATTATTTTAAATTTAGACTGTATGCCACCCAGAGTCATGATGGAATTGGATAGATTTCTAGAAAGCGTATATATTTATCAGGATATATTGGTCTCATAGTTTGTTTGAAATAAGAATTGGTTCTTTTTTTCTTTTGTTTGACAAATGTCTGGCCTTGTTTATACATGAGATATGAGGCAGGGAGGCTAGTAAAATGTTTGTAGGCCAGCAGCCCTCTTGGATTTATTTCAAGACAGGGATCTATCTCTAGTGTGAGCTACGCCATACATAAATGGAGATTGGTTTTGATCATACATCTTGAATGTACTATGGCAAAATTAAGTAGCAAGGTTCCATGTTTACTCACTTCCTGCATTTATAATCACATCTTTTGTCTGAGAGTTTAAAGCACAGTATATTGGAGACTTCTGCAGTATTATCTCTCTGATAGCACCTATGAAGTATATTAGTCTGAAAAAGAGCAATTGGCTCAGAGTCACCTGCTGAGTTTTGCAACCAAGTGTAAATTTGAATCTGTGTTTCCCAAGATCCTATTCAGCACCTTAACCATAATTTTGCAGAAGTTCTGTATTAAACTGTGGAAAATTTCTCAATCTTTAGAAGTTGTACATTATAGGTCTTACGAGTCCCAGCCTGAATGGTCAACAATAAGACAATCTAAGACAATCATAGAGTTTCTAAATATCTAGATGGACCTGGGTTGAGGAAGGCTGCTAGGGCATAGTAATGGAAGACATATTCTAAGTCCTAAACATTTCAGCCTGCCAAAGGTGGGAGATGATGTACCAGGGTTGCTAAGATCAGTTTAGAACATGTGTCCAAATTATATTTGATCCCCGAAGACATGCAAGGAGCAGATAGCAAAACTGTAGTGTAATTTTTGATATATACCCAACAAAATGTAGACCAGAATGACTGGTCTAAATAGGCCATTATTAGGCTTAACTTTTACTATTTTGGCACATAACAAAGTATGTTTAGCAAGAAGGCACATTTTAGGATGCAAACATTTATAAGTGCTATGCTAATGCAGCTGTAGGCAACATGGTGCACTATGGACATTTGCCAGTCTAACTCCTCTACATTGCTTTCATTTCTATCTTCTTTTTTGAATGCATGAATGAAGCTGGTATGCTGTAAAACAAAGTGGTAGTCTCTTTGGCATCATCTTCATCTTGGTCTGCCTGGTCTCCCTCTGGCTTCAGACAACTGTTTTGTTAGGAAATGTGTCCAGCTGCCCAGGAAAACAGTTGAGGTGATAAGATGCATCCTTAGGAGTTAGGGGGAAGGGGAATAATTCCATCCCATTACTATCTATCTTTAGCTATGTCTAACAAAACCAACCAGTTTGAATAAGCAAGTCCTCCTTCCATGGCAGTTGTGTTGTTAAGAGTCCCCACATGCTTTCAAAATTCTGAATGTGTTGATCCACTCCAGAACGTGGTTTGCTGTGTGCTATGTTCTTATGGCTGTGTTATCAAAAGAGGTTGTTGAGAAATGAAATGTCTTGAGCATGCTTAGAAAAGGTTCAAAATTACAAAAGTGAGGGATGGGAGGAAAGCATCTTATTGAGGAAAAGTTTTGTCTCCCAACCAACCCAAATAGTATAATGCAGACTGATCATAGAGTGAACTGCAAACACTGAATATCTGGTCTGAAGTGGATAGGGATTAGAATACGTTTGAAGAGGGCATGCCTGGCTGGTTGGAACATTGAATAGAAGCCCTCCAAGCTGCAGCACCTAGTTGCAGGTTGCATTTCTATGAGCTTGGCAAACCATCGTGTGGAAAAAAAGGAACCACTTTTAGTGTTCAATAGAAATCCAAATAGCTGCCTTCATTTAAGTTGTATTCTGCCTTTCCCTCACTGGCGTTTCACAGGCTAATGGTTTTTACTTTACAACTATAAACCCTTAGAATTGCTGAAGGAGAGCCAGTGGAAGAAGTAGTTCAAGAGATGACGTTGGATGAGTGGAAAAATCTTCAGGAACAAAGTCGACCAAAGCCTGAGTTCAACATCCGGAAGCCTGAAACCACTGTTCCATCCAAAGCAGTGGTAATTCACAAGTCAAAATATAGAGATGATGTAAGCATTACATTAGAATTCAGAGGATTCTTCCTTTCAACTCTGTGTTAATATTTCTAGCTGTACTACATTGAAATTTATACCTAGGCACTGCATAGATTGAAAAACACTATTAGAACTTACCCCAGCCACGGTCCATTTTTTAAAATGTCCAGAACACAGACTTAATTTTTCTTTTTTCTGTACTTCATTTGTAGTGATTAGAGAAGCATTTTTGCTGCTGTTTCTAATTTGTGGTTCTTATTACTTGTTCAGTTTCCGTTTCTAGGTTACAGTCTACTACTGAGTCCATTCTTTCATTGAGCAGGATGTTCAGCAGGGAGAAAGGGAGAATAAGCAATGGATTCTACTCAGACTGCATTGTGTTCACATGAAGGAATGGAGCCCTGTGCACAGGATAGACTGCACAGAGCTGCATTTATGCAGCGTGACGACATAAATGTTAGACTGGATTGAACCTCTTTCTTTCCTACTCGGGTGAATTTGTGAAGGATCCTCTAGATACTTTTTCCATACACATACTTACGTATACACATACACATAGTCACAAGAAAGTTCGTAGACAAAGGCCTGTTTTTATTTGGTCACATCTATTTTCTGCACATCACTATATCCAAAGTGATATTTTGACTGTGGAACAAAAGTTTGCAAATAGAAATATTCACATTTCTGAAGCTTTGCTGGCCAGGTGTGACTGTGTTTCAGAAGTGTCTAAAAGTCAGCTAATGAAAGTAATGAGTGGACATGTACCGGCAGCTGCTTTCTTAACTCATCAAAGGGCAATTTTTTGAGAAAGTCTCTCCAGAGAATCACTATCCCTGGAGAATGGCTTTTATGTTGTGTTTCACTTCTGTTGTGAGATGAGTCATAGAGGGAGCATAGTTTCTCTGTGGCAGTTCTATTGTCTTTAGAATGCCCTGCCCATGAAGATTTGCTTAGGAGCCTGTCTATGAAGCCTGTCTAATGTCCTCTATCTTTCCAGGGCATTTTTTTATATTAAAAGACCTCGTCTGGCCCTTGATGCACTGTTTCTAGTTGAAGATCTTGATAATATATTAGGTTTAATCATATTTCATTCTGAAGTGTGTTTGCTTTGAATGTAATTGTGTAGAAATGTGATTCATGTGCTTGGGGAAATACAATGTGGTGTTTAGATACAGTGGTTCTGAATTATCTGTTTAGTACTAATTTGTCTGAAGAAAAAGTTGACTCATAAAGCTGCAGAGGACTGAGTGACAGAAAAAATAAGAATAAAGTTAACCAGAAATCTCCCATCTTTCAGCTCAAAAGAGGCAAGCAGCTTGCTCTACAAAGGTAGTAACATGCACAGTAGTTTGGTGATTTAAGTTAATTATCTTCTGTTTGAACAACTGTTTCAAATTATTGAAGGACTTAGGAAGAAAAAAAAGCATTGTATTAATACAAATTATATTCTTCCAATATGTGTGGTGAAAAGTATATAAAAACAGCATTGGGCACACAGATATGGCATCTTTGCAAAATACTGTGGTTTCTGCAATTTTTTATAAAGAACTAGTTGCTTGGAAAAAAAATCCAAATCTTAAGAAGTGTACTATACTTTGTTCTCTCCATATTACATAGAAAGCAGTTCATTCAATCTGCTGGAGAATTAGTATTAACAATCTCAACATACTTCATAAAATAATTTCTCACTGGGATTAGCAACTTCAGAAGATAGCCAAGGACCATCTTGTTTATTCCGTTCATACTTCAAAATCATCATTAGAAGTCCTTGCCTTGGTTTCTCTGCCTTTTTTAATATTGGTGGTTGATGCCCTGGGATTGAGTGGCTTCAGCAGTGGCATTAATGTGACATTCACTTCTTGCTTCTATTTTAAAATGGTTGGCTATTTTTTAAGATACATTTTTTTGCTATTTGCTGCCTTCCTTTGATGGTTACTTTTTTGTTGTTGCATGTATTTTGTTTTGAATTTGTAATTCAGTAGGTAAGACACTTTATTTAAGACATTTAATTACTGGATTAAATAAATAATCCAATAATCTTTTAGAAATCTTTAACCAATATACTTTTCCTGCACCTTCTAGCAAGTCTTCAATGCTGCTTTTGGCATTTAAGCATGCTTTTTTAAAAATGTGGATACATTTTGTTATAGGTGCTGAAGGAAGATTTTGAGGATGATTCTCACTTTTCCCGAAAAGCAGCAAATGACATCACTTCTCAGCTGGACATTAACTTTGGGAATCTGCCTCGTCCTGGACGAGGAGCCAGAGGAGCACGAGGTGGTCGTGGGCGTGTCCGAAGAGTTGAGGACTCAGGGCCAAGACCAGAAGTGATGGTAATTACACGTGCTAATTCTAATCTCTGGCTACTTCATTGTAGCAATTCAGTTTATACATCTGCCTAATCAAAATGGCAGTGTCCATGGGCAAAAAGAAGGCAATAGAAATCACAGAATTTGTAGATGTACCAAAAAAACCCTATATATATATATAATTTTTTTTGCAGCAGGACCCACTCCTACCTAAGAAACTACTTGGATCCATTGAATGTAAATTCTGAGTCCCTGAATTTTTAAAAGCTTGGATTCAGTAAATCAAAGGGTATAGCTAGGAAAAAATAGGATAGGATAAACTTAACAGTAAATTAGTACATGGACTATTGAAGCAACAGTAATGAACAAAGCCAAAATCATGTGCATCTTAGTAAACAGATAAATAGCTAGTTCTTACCTAACTCATCTGGTTTTGCTTTGTGCTTTTCCTTTTAGATGCACATCACTGCTCCAAACCCAGATGACCCTGAGGATTTTCCTGCTTTGTCTTGAAAGAACTCAATGACACCTCCAAAAATAGCTGTGGAGATACTATGTTGCTGTAGAAGAGAATCATCCGAGTCTACAGAGAGAAATGACTTTTGTGTGTGAATTTTGCACTTCTGTGTGTTAAGACATACCCAGTGGGTTTGGAGGCAAGTTCCAGTACCACTGTTTTTGGATTAGCTGTGTGAAGGCTTATGGTATCATACATGAGGAATTTCAAATAAAAATTCAGGATGATGGTGTCAAACAGGTACAGATGGATGAGTCTTTGTCCCTTTTATCACAAATGTAAGCATACAAGGTGGTTTGTTTGGGGACAGCAAACCATAGATGTTTGGACTACTTGTTCTCTGATTTCATTGAGTGAATTATACCTTTGCCATACTTGTTACTGCATAATTTTCAGAAGTTGGGCAATAAAACAAGATGCTCTCACTGGATGAGGTCAGGGGTGCTATTTTTATATCATTTATTTTTTAATCATTTAATACTGGAAGCTGCAAACTGTAGATTTTTGTAGTTACAATTTGGAAGTTAAAGTTTATTTGAAGAATGAGGTAAGTTACAAATAAATCATAGAATGAATAGTATTTTGGAAGAAAAGTTGGCAAACTATGGAATGGCTTGCTTTCTCACTAGTTGATTTTCATATGTATGGAAAACTTTTTATCAGGAATACTTGATTAAAATAGTAATTCTTCATAGAACAGCATTAAATAGAATAAATTTTAGGGAAACCATAAACCTGATACTTGTATCCTCCACCTGCCACACCTTGCCACACCAAAGTTCAATTGCATTCTTAATTTATCATTGTAGAATCTTCTTAATGTATTGGTTTGCTATTAGCTTGAACATTTTGTACATCACAGACAAAAAGCATAGTTTAGATCTTTAAAAGACCCATGGTAAAGCAATTTATGCTTGTGGTGTCGTATGTGGACATTGTATCAGGGTGCAAAATGTCGCATCAAAGCTCAATTTGTACCATTTTATCAATCTGTGACTTGACTCAGCTTCTCCCCTAAGCCTGCTTCACCAACCCGTTGGTGCTTCTGCAGGAGTGCTGGCAGGTTTGGATCTGCAGGTGGCCATGCCTGGCATGTTCATTGATTGAAGGTCTTAATGCATGGCTTATGGTTGACTTGGTTCATTTGATATACAAAGTTGATTTTTCAGCAACAAAGAACGTTAGAAGTACTATCTTGCAAAGGATGAATGGGTGGAGTCAAGTTGTGGGTTAAAAGGTACCAAAGAGTGTGTCCCCCAAGGTACCATCTGGCCTGTAAGGCCACAAGCATGGGAAGCTATACTTTGTTCTGTAGCTATATCCAGTTCCCCATATTGCTGTATAAGGAGTTAAATGATGGGAAGAATGCACAATAGTACCTGTTGGCACTTTCTTAAAGAAGCTGCATATTTTCCTGGGATTGCACAACTGATAATTTATGGAAAAGACAGCAGCTTTTGGTTTAAGGAGTTGCTGAAAGGCGTTACCTGCGTACCCATGCATAAGCTGAAGCACCTTTCCTTTGAATCAGATGTGCTACACAGCCCCCAATTAAGTGTTTTCCACATTTGGGTAGTCTCGTATAAGCAATAGATTTTATTTGTACACATTTCTCTTACAAGTTAGTCCAGATTTATATAATCCAATTACACTGATGAAAAATACATACTATCAAATTAAAATTTAAACACAGTATCAAGTTTATCCCTGCTATACATTAACAAAATAATTTGATCTGAGCAGTATTGATTATACCACATGGTTTGAACAAATTATTTGTACATGTTTTGAAGACAGTACATATAAAACCTAAAAACTTGTAACTGGGACCTACAAGTAACAACTCTGAAAGTTTTGTTTTAAGCTTTTCCACAGCATGGCTGTCAATATAGCAATGAATATTTGGGTACAACTTTATTTTAAATTGATGGAAAATAAATTGTGCTAACCAGTATGGAATCATAATAGTTCCATGTGAGTATGTAAATGAATCAGACTATTTATTTTGCTTATCCATTACAAAGAAAGTTTAAGAACTGGGAGCCTTTGGTTTACAAGCCTAAAAAAATTAAATATATCTTTTGACTTCTAAAACACCTAAATATTGAATATTTTTCTGGCCTGATACTAGTACTCTTCTACCTAGAACTAAATCTAAGAGATGGTTTAATGCATTTAACTTATACCTTGCCTTTCTATCAAAAAATGACATTCTGTGGGAGCACTGCTTTTTCAGTGGTAGACTGGCTCAACATGATTGTGACCATTTAAGAATGGCTTTGCATGGTTGATTTGTGTATATATCATTAACAACTCAGTCAGTGGTTTCATATTCAAATAATCTTGGTTCTCATATCTAAAATAGCAGATGTTGCAATTCTGTGCATATATAACAAGTAACTACTGTTGGTACTAGTAAAGCTTCTGAGCCAAAATATAAATAGATTTCCTCCATGCTAATCAGAGCATTCTGAGCTGCCTTGACACTTAGTAACCAAGATTGAGGGAGGTAGAAACAAGTGGTATGTATACATACACTCCCAAATAATAACTATATTCTATCACAAACCTTTTAATCTGAGGTTCAAGCATAATCCTATCAAGAATAAACTGGTAAATGGCACTTAACAGTTATTCACATATCTATGGCAACTGAAATAACGTTTTGTATGCTGACTATAAATTAGCATAGTTTTATGAGATGGCTAGAAATGATTGAGTTTACAGAATTAGGAATGGGTATTGCATAAACAAACAGTAACTGGCTATTAAGGGGGGAATTTAGCAAATAATTGAGATATAGGTAAGTGAATCTTTTGTCCTTCATGATACAGAAATAATTGGTGGAAGTAGTTTATCAACAATCATGAAAGTGACATCTATCTCAGTTCATGTACCAAATGTCTATTTGAACTTTAATCCATCAGGTGCACAAATTAAAATACCGTGACTCTTGCTGCTTGAATTTTAGGATGTAGGCCAAATAAAATCTCAAATGTTGAACAATGAGGCTGATTTGATTGTTTGAGGTCCTGTTAGAACAAATATTAATTTAACTGATTTGAAATCACACCATCTTGAAAAATCTCCTGCAAAATACAGGAAACACTCTAAGGTAGGATATATTTATTAAGATCAAAGTCAGTATCTGTATTGTTAGTGAAAATAGCATGAACAATACAGAAATACTTCTGAAACAACAAAATCCGTACCAAACGTGATCCTGGAACTTCCTGTTAAATGTAGGTTACATTTTATAAAGCTGACTAAAATCAATTGTTAAGGGACTATGTGAGCATGTCCTTCAGTAACCATGTGGCATTCACTTTCATGGTGGATGAAGTAGAACAAGATTAAACCAATCAAAAACTTCATGTATTCCAATAAATATAAATGAAGAACTCTTGTCTATAACGCAACTGCTGTTAAGTAAATGAGCTATAACTGAATGGCAAAGAAGCTCCTGTATAAGCAACCTAAATCTTTAAAAATAAACACCAAATATAGGTTTAATTTCATAAGTGAATGTCTGCACAGAATGATCTATAGTAAGCTTCCTTATTAAAAAAAGTGTCATGACCAATATTGGTTTGTGTTGGATTCTTCTTAGAAAATCAGCAATGAAGGGGAAAAAAATGACTACAGCCCATTAAACATGATGATAAAGAGTTCATAGTGAGGATTTAAGTTCAAACTACACCACCAAATCTGGAGAATGACATACTGGGCAACAGATTGGACAAGGGCAATCTACATACCAACACCAAAGGAGACTTAACAGAGTATGCAAATTGAAAACTATGCTGTTTGTATACAGCACACTTATTTTAGGGAAAGTTAGGCAATAACAAAGGCAGACTATAGGACTGTATAGTCTAGGATACTGAAATGAATCAGGAAAACTTACAATTTCTGCCAGTCTAATTACAACTTCATGCTAACACATTCCTCGAACAACCAAAACAAAGTCTGTATACATGGACGTTATCAGATGAATTACATAGAAATCAATTTGACTACGTTACTGGTTCAAGGTGGTGGAAGAGTTGTGTGAGAACAGCAAAGTCATAGCCAAGGACTGATTATGGAACTGATAACAAACAACTCATATGCAAGTTCCAAGTCAAGCTAAAGTGGAAGAAAACCAACCAGTTTCAATAATACAATCTTGAGCATATTCCTACCATTTTCAAGAACAGGAATTGTCTGAAGCCCAGAACCTCATTGATAGGGAACCAGAGAAATTGTGGAATGAAATTAAAGAAGTTGTTAAGGATGAATATGAAAAGAGACTGCCAAAAATCAAGTGACAGAAGAAACCAAACTGGATGTGAGAATAAATGGCAGAAACTGCCAAGAGAAAAGAAGCCAAAGCCCAGAAAGATAAAGATCTCAGGAAGGAACTTAACACATTTTAGAGGGCTGTTAGAAGAGGCAAGCAATATTATAGCAATATCTGTAAAGACATTGGACAGAGACAAGAAAAAACACAGAAGTCTCTGAACTCAAAAGGAGGTTCCAACCTTGAACTGGTATGCTAAGAGATGCCAATGGACAGGTAGTAACTGATACAAACAGGATCAAAGGAAGCTGGAAGAAGCATACTGAAATTCTGTACAGTAGAAATGTCAATATCCATGATACTTTAGAAAACATTCCCTATTTATAAAAACCTCTAGTACTAGAAGATGAGGTTAGATCAGCACTCCAGTCATTACCAAGTTGGAAGGCTACTAGAATTGATGGAATAACTGTAGAAATAAGGCAAGCAATAGAAGAATCAATCAAGATTCTAAACAAACTACACCAACAAATCTGGAGAATGACATACTGGGCAACAGATTGGACAAGGGCAATCTATATACCAATACCAAAGGACACTTAACAGAGTATGCAAACCTATCATACGATATTGTTGATTTCATGTGAAAGCAAAATAATGCTTAGGATCTTCCAACACAGATTACAGCCCTACACGAAAAATAAAATTCCAAATGTTCAAGCGGATTTTTAAAAAATCCAAGGACCGAGGGACATTATTGTTGATAACTTCTAGATAATTGAGAAAGTCAAAGAATATCAAAAAGAAGTCAATACATGTTTCATTGATTATAAAAAGTCCTTCAATTGTGTCAAACATATCAAGCTGTGGAATGGCCTTCAAAAATTGGGAATCCCGGAATATCTCACTGTTCTTGTGCAAAACCTATATACAAGATAGGAAGCCACAGTATGAAAACATGGTGAAACAGACTGGCTCCAGGTTAGTAAAGAAGTGAGAAGGCTGTATACTCTGTCATTTATTCAACCCACATGTTAAGGGAGGCTGGATTGGAAGATGGGTGTGGTTTCAAAACTGGAGAAAGAAACATCAATAACCTGCACTATGCTGAAAATGCAAATGATCTGTGAGCTCTGGTAATGAAAGTCAATGAACACAGTGAAAAAAATGGAACTAAGATTAAAGAAGACTAAATAACAGATGGAACAAACAGCCTTAAAATTGACAATGAAGATAGTCAATGAAATGGTGGATAGCTTTTGCTTTTTAGGATCAACTATCAATAGTAAAAGAACCAACAGTCAAGAAATATACCATAGACTAGCACTTGGCAGGGTAGCAATGAAGGCCTTATGAAAAATATTCAGATGCCATTATGTGTCTATACCTACAAAGATCAGATCATGTAGACTGTGACATTCTATAGAAGCAGAAGTTGGATTTTGAAGAAACAGGATAAAAAGAGTACTGACACTTGTGAATTTTGGTGCTGGAAGACTCTTGAGATTATAATAGATAGCCAAGAAAACAAATAAATGGATCACAGAGCAAATCAATCCAGAATTCTCATTTGAAGCACAAGTAACTACACTTATCATATTTTGGACACATTGTGTGAAGACTTTGTTCTCTTGAGAAGTTTATAATGCTGGGGAAAGAGGAAAGGAGAACCATCAGCAGCAAGATAGATAGACTCGATTACAATGGCAATGAGTGCATCAATAAAAGATCTGAAGGGCCAGGGTGGGGACAGATTATCCTGGAGAAGGTCTCTTGTGTAGCTCCTAAGATTTGATGAGAGACTTAATGGTAGGAATTTATTAAAGTAGCTGTGAGGATCAACATGGCTATCAGCCCTAAAACACGGCCCAGTTCTCTTCAGTACTAGTGCTATGTGACTTTCTAAAAAATCCATATTCCTAAAATTTAACAATACTCCTAACAAGGTAGCTGTTCAAGACAAAATCCCAATGCTCTTATCTACTCTTATTGGCATGATTAGTTACAGATATTTTGGGCTTCAGGTACAGCAAGCATTTTCTAAATTTTTATTTTTTACATAGCTCTTCTTTTCTAAAGGAATATAGAGCAGACTATAGCAAAGCTTCTATACCAGTGATGGGCAAACTTTAGCCTTCCAGATACTGGACAGCAATTCTTAACTTCAGTCATGTTGGCTAGGGCTAAAAGGAGTCACAACCCAACATCAGGATGACCTGCATTAGCCACAACTAATAAAATTTTCCTTGGGTAAAGTTGTTTCCCCAGACTGGAAAGAGCTAAATTGCAAAGGTGCAGAGAAACACCTGATACTCCTGAACAAGGAGGACTTCTGAAGTCCAAACGGGACAAGAGAATAGTTACAGTTCTCGCTTAGTTTCTGAAGACTAAGAATGGCAATAATTATAATCCACAATGCTTTCTCTACATTTCAGTACAGATCTGCTGCTGCTTCTGCACTGAAAGGTAAGTGTATAACTGTAACTTTGTAATTTTAATGAATTTGACATGGTAGATATAGAGAAATGGCAAATCCAACTCCTTCCCCTATCCAACCTATCGACATGTCATTAGAATCAAAACACTGATATGCCACATACTTTGCATACAGAAGAACACCAATTCAATCCCCTATTTCTGCAAACAGAGCTAAAATGAATGTCTAAATATTAGCAGAACTATTACCATGCAATATTTAATTCTAGGAAAGGGTGGTGTCTAAGAACAGGTTCTCAGGGCAAGGGGAGCTGATTTGCTAGCATTCCTTTTAGTGAGAATGGGGTAAATGTGTAAGTACATAGAGGGGATATGAAAAGCCATGCTTTGTTAGTGCATTTTGTCCAATTATTATTTGTATTAGCTATACAGTAAGTTTTAATTCACTAGTAGCTTAACAATTAAGACTGTGGTATTAAAACAGCACATATTTGTTGCAATTCTTCCCAGCTGTTTCTGTTAATTAAAAGTAGTAAGTAACACTTTAGGTAGTGGTATAATTTGCAAAACTAGGAGCTAAATCTATGAAAATAAAGCACTCTTTGGTGGATAGTGATTTAGAAATATATGATAAAAATCCTAATATAATTAGGGTAGTTAATGTATGCAAACAGCAATCATATTATTGGGTGGTGAAGGGAAGAAGACTACACCTTCCCAATTTCTCCATTTCCATCATAAGAGAAAACCAATTTGGGATGAAAATTTATACACCAAACAGATAATGTATGTACCCCCCCATCACTTCTTTATATTGGACAGAAGATTAAATGATTGCCATCACATTTTGTCCCTAAGCATTGTACAAAAAAAAGTTCTCTTGATAAAAGAGATATTTAGACAAAAGGCTAAAATTTACAGGCCATTATTAAAGCGGTAAAAAAATCATTATTGTAGTGATAATAAATTAACACTCTTGTACAAGAGTTAAAATAGACCACTTTTTAAAAGAAAAAAAATCAATCTTCAATGTTTTAATTGAAAACAATGTCCCTTTTTTTTCTGCATTCTCTTGAATTCTCATTGTTCAACGCAGCACACTTCTGGTTCTTGGATTAGTGGCAGTGCTGAAATGATAAAGAGGTTTATGGGACATAAAATACATAAGATGCATATATAAATACCAATTAGAAACAAACAATTTAGCCATCATAACAACCAGTTAAAATTAAGCCAGCAAATAAACCAAAAAGTCATTAGAGGAGGGAGGGGGTGATTCAAAGGCTAAATTTCTGAAAATAATACAACCTCAACAATAAAGGTCTGCCACTCAGATTACATTATTAGAAAACGAGCTGAGATTCATAAAGAGAAAGCAGTGGGATCAAAGTACCATAAGCGTATTTGTTGTAAAGCATCCCTTTTCCTTCTTTCCCTCTGAGGCATCAGACTGTGGGAAAAGTAGAAAAAAAGTAAAGAAAATTGTTTTAAGTGGTTAGGATTAAATAGATGATGCTCTGTCACTTCATTCAGCTTCCAATTTAAATCTGGAAGTCAAGTGTAACTGACAGTGTTAGAAGCAAGTGGTGGGCTTGGAAAGGTACATAAAAGTTAAAAAATACCTTTCTAAACTGTTATTTTAAAAATACTAAAGTAAGTGAAAAACAGCTTTTACTATTTAAATAATAGGGTAACACTTACTGTGTTTTTGCTCCTATTCGCCAAGTCTCTTTTAAAATCCATCCTCTCTCCACTCATTGTGTCAACATAATATCTTGTTCCCTAAAGTGCTAACTGAAGCAACAAGGGGTGACTCTTTCATTTGCAGTATAGGTTCCAGCCAATTTCAAGAGAAAGAGGGTAGGGAGTTACTTAATACTCTTGAAAATTCTGTTCCATGAGCTAAAGATCCCATTTTTAGAACTGGCTGATGCATCTATACACCTCTGAGGGTTTCATCTTATATTAGTACTACTTGTGAACAACCCCCATGTAGCAGTCATATCTAAAGCACTCTGCTACATTAATCTGCTCCTAATGGATGAGAGAATCTGTAAGTTGACATCAACCAAACTCTCTTATCATAAAAACAGCATTTCCCTTTCAACAGGACTGAGCTTTTTTCTAAGCATCAGTAAACATTCATGATTATCCATGAATAAACTCATAAATTAGTTTGGGTAGGAGAGAAGACAACTACCCCCTTTGAAAGAAACACACCATGTTTTTCTAGAGACTTTAGTGCTAGAGTTGCATGACACAGCACTAAAGCTAATACATGGAATGTCTGTGTGACTACCCATTCAGTGGCTGTTTATGTTTCCATGCTTTATCCTATTTTTATCTGCATTTATCTGCTTTATGGGAATCTATCTGAATAACTTCAGAATGTATGGATGTCTTAGTAATGATAACTTTTTGGACCAATATGATATAAGTACACAAATTCACAATATATAATACATTCAGGAAGTTCATGGCTGAGAAATGCTTCAAGCTTTAAAATGAGGAGCGCTATTTTTTCTCCTTTCTAGACAGAAAGAAATGGTATTCTTTAGTTTTAAATTCCAGAGAGAGAATGAGAGAGAGGGGAAAAAAAAGAATACTAGTAAGGTCTACATGAAATAACAGAAGCTTCAAAAGAATAATTAATTTTCAACAGTTTTCCAAACACAAAGTTACTTGCTTTTTCTAATTCTCAGTTTCTTTATATATAAAACAGTGTTCTGTAAGCCCATTTTAAATCATGGTTGACAGATTCATTACTGTTTACTTGAATTGAGCATCCAGGTAAACTATTGCTAGAAAAAATGTGGCAATGTGTAAGTTTGCAATACATTCCTAATCTGCCAAACCAAAGGTAAAGCACACAATCAAGTCAATTGCTACTCTCCACTACATCTTCCTCTATTAAGGCTGGAGAGAACTGTTCTCAGCATCTAGGTGAAAAATGAAGTTTTCTCCATAATGGAGTCAGCTGAGATGATCACACAGAAGAAAAGCACCCTGCATGGGAAGGTCTGGGATGATCCCCATCTTCCTCTGCAGAGAGCTTTGCCTAGGAAGCATCTGGTAATGCTGAGGAGAAGACCTTGGCACTCCCAAATGAAGCATTATGAAGCCAGAGCTGCCTATTTTCAATCAGTTATCCACTAGGAGTGCTTTTCCTCTCCAAACAAGTTTGTTCACACTAATTCCTGCTCAGAACTTTTTCTATGAGGGTCCTCATTCAAGATCCTGTAGATGAAGTGGCCAGAGGTCCCATCTCTTTTCCAGGCCCTAGCTGAAATGCAATATCACAGAAGACTGTAGCATAAAATGTCATTTCTGATTTGCCTTATATGGCAGACCTACACATAAAAGTGTATATAGAAAAATCTAACAATTAACTTTTGCTACCTTCTTATATATGATTTTTAAGGATTTTCAGGACCTGGGAAGCAAAAGCAAACATAATTTGGAAATCCATCAGTCATACGTTTAAATCCAAAATTCGCTCTACTCTCCAAATCATCTATTGGGTGATTCATTATGTTCTAGAGTAGGTTAAGTCATACAGCAAAATGTAGTATTGGAATGTTCTTTCAATGCAGCTGCAAAGGTGTGCTGTTCAATATAAACTAGCTAGCATTTTCTCAGACTTTGACCAGCATTCATACAACAGACTTTGTAGATAGAAGTATAAAAGATGAGCAATTGCCCAGAATGTAGGCATATGAATTTATGCCATACGACATCTACTGATATACAATTAAAGGATGTAAGAAAGAAAAACTGTAACAATAATGAACAGCCTGCTCCGTCATCCTTTGCTGTTAAGCAGCCAGTTGCATTTTGTTCAACTCTATACAAAAGATTGCTATAGACTGTAGCTGATGCATGGCTAGTCAGATTTCCAAATGCACAGAATCCACTTATTTACAATATTTTTACACTGCCAACTTCATAAGAATCCTAGTGGTTTATGAACAATATAAATCCAAAAAATCATAAATACTTAAAACAAACAACCCCCTCCTCTTCTGTAAAAAAGCTTCTGGAAAATATGTGTAACATTCCTTTAAGACTGAAAAGTAGCAACAGTCTTTCAGCAGAAGGAGTGGGGAATCTTCTACTAAAAATGTCTGTGATTCCTTGCACTGACTGAAGTTGACCCTGATAGGACTTTTTGATTAATGTAGTTGTAATTATGTGTGAGGAAAGCTTATAAAACTGTAGGCATACATTTCAATCAGACTTTCCCTAAAATGTGCAGTTATTTAGCTGTGAATGCTGTGCTTGTACACTGCCCAGCGTCACACTGGCAGCCATATAAATTTGTTAAATAAATAATTAAATACATCTTTCTAACTTCTGTTTAAAAAAAGTCAGTACTATGACACTAGCATATTAGACTGATGAAGGCAAGGTGTTTTACATCTTTTAAGAAGTTACCAAATGCAGAGGATCAATTTCTTCCACAGAAATGGTAACCTAAAATTCTTTTAACCCTGGTACATTAAATCCAAAAAATACAATTATAGCTGAAGATGAGATGCTGCAGTGGGATGTTTAGTCAACATACTTGATTAGTTAGCCAATTTTCCATTATACTGAAAACTAACACATTCGGAACATATTAGGATATAAACCTACTGGAAACACTCAAAAAGAAGAAAATATGTATACAATGCAACTCACGATGTATCTGAAGCAGTCCAAGGGGAAAGAATGGAGGTTAACAAAAGGAGCCAGCATGGCAAATTTAGTGTAGATTGAAAATAAAAAAGAACACATATACTGTAAAACATAAAGAAGGCCAAGCCACAAAAATATATCACACACAGGTAGCCTAGATCTGAAAAGATGCTGTCAGCAACCAAAAGCTCAGGATGAACTGAAGTTAGCAATGAATGCTAGGAACAACAAAAGGTGTTTTTCTTTTGGTAGGTTAAAAATAAAAGGAAAAGTATGTTTGTTCAACAAGGAAGGCAAAATATTAGCATGTATAGTAACAATAATAAAAGACAGAGTTTTTTTACTCTTATTTTGCTTCAGTCTTCAACAACAGCAAAATAACTTTTCATTCTACCAGGAAACTGTGAATGTCTCAATCTCCAGGACCAGATGAATTGCATCCTGGGGCCCTGGAAGAACTAGCTGATAGTCTGGCTGGACCCCTATGTATTATCTCTGATAAATTGTGGACAAATAAAATGCCAGATGATTGGAAATGGGCAAATGTCCCTATCTTCATAAACAACCAACCACAAACCAGTGTTATTGACATTTGAGAAGGTACTTAATTAAAAAATAGATCTGTAACCATTTTAAAAATTACCAGAAGTCAGGATCTTATCTATTTTTTTTAATCTTTACTAGATTGTGGGAATGCTGTAGATATTATATACCTGTACTACCTGTACCGCAAAGCATTTGATAAAGTACCCCATGCCATGCTGTGCATAACACAAGAATTAACTGGATACTCAACTGGCTCAAAAATTGTACTCGGGGAAAGTTTATTACTGGTTCTGCATTAGATAAGTGGGGTACCATAAACATCACTATTTTCACTAATTATTTGGATGAAGAGGTGGATAGAATGCTTATCAAATTTGCAGATGATACAAAATTGAGTGGGATGGCTAATACCCTAGAAGACAGAGATAAAATCTGAGAATATTTTTTGGAGGAAAGAACTGGTTAGAGAAAATTGTTAACGAGAACAGAGTAAAATTTAATAGAGCCAAGTGCAACAAAATGATTATGAGCTAGCAGTGGCTCCATAATTATTCTATCCTGTTCTATTCTGTTATGGTTAAAGTACTGTGTCCAGTTCTGGGCACCACACTTAAGACAATGAAGATCATCAGACTAGAAATGAAGCCCTCTGAAGAATGACTGAAGGAGCTGGGTATGTACAACCTTGAGAAAGGACAACTGAGGGCAATACTACAGCACTTTTCAAATACCTGAAGGTTATCACAAGAAGATCAAAGCTGTTTTTTTCTTGTTCCATAGCACAAAAGATGGAACACTGGATTTAAGTTATAGGAGATAAAAATTCCTAACAGCAAAAGCAGTTCAGGAGCAGAACAAATTATCAAGAGATGATGGGCTTCCTTTCATTAGATCTGTAGCTACATAATAATCTGCCTGGGATACTTTAATTTGGATTCCTGCACTGAGCAGGAGGTTGGACTTGATGGCCTAAATACCCTCTTCCAGCCTTGTGATTTTATAATTCTGTAATTTTCACTGAATAGTATGAGAATTGAAGGTTCTGCGTAATTGAGATTTATTAAGTCATGATGGAAATGGAACAAATAATATTAAAGTGCAAAGAATTACACATATTGATGCATCAAGGGTAACAGGAAAAGCATTGAGAAACATTATTAGAAATGTCAGAATGAACAATGAATCCTTGACAAGCTTCCTGATTAAGTAGCAAATGATCTATGATAATCAATTATGAATTTGAAATGCCCAGTTAGGCAAGATTTTGTGAAATACTAACAAATTTCATGAACACAGATATATTTACTAAACCTGTCTTTGTTTGGTGACTGAGAAAATTTGCTGTCTTAGCACCATGGGAAGTACCACCCAAGGGAAATAATAGCAGGGAAAGGCTTTCTTACTAATATTTCATACAGAGAAATTAAACCTTTGTTTCAGAAAGGTCAACCTAGCTTTGGAATTACATCGTGGGCAGCAGGATATAAATGCTGACTACTAAAAATCTCTTCTGCAATGATACCTTTAAAAATGCCTGATCAATAATTGCATTTACATACATATTAAATATGTATGTGTGAGGTCTGATGTATTTTCTAACCTTGAATATTATCTGTTATCACTATCCATCCTTCAGATCATCTGTTATCTCTATCTGTCCTTTAAATTAATTAGCAGCCAGTCCAGGAACTCTTTCTGGTTCTTTGTCATGCATGAACTTTTAGGTGGCTGAAGAAATAAAGAGGCTGAATTAAAGTCTTATGGTCAGCAGAACCACCAGGAAGGCAAAGATACTTCTACACTAGAATCACTTTCACAGTGGGCGAAGAGATGCTCTGTACAGGTAGTTCTTGACTTATGATGGCAGTTGGGACCGGAATTTCCATTGCTAAGCGATATGGTTGTAATGTGCAACTGCACTGCTTAGCAACAGCAATCCCTGCAGTCCCAGTTGCCTAGCGATGGCAGTCCCTGCAGTCCCAGTTGCCATCGTTAACCAAATCCCACAGTGGTTAGGCAAGGCAACTTCCTGCCGGCTTCCCACAAGCAAAGTCAGTGGGGAAGCTGGCAGGAAGTTGCAAATCCCAGGCTGGCAGGCAGGTAAATGGCTGCTGCCAGGTGGGGAAGGGAATGAGGGGGTACATGGAGGTGTGCCAAGGAGGGTGTGTGAGGATGTGAGGGATGTGAGGGAGAGTGCACAAGGGAGGTTGCAAGGGGGTATATGAGAGGCGCGGTGTGGGTTGACAAGGGTGTGCAGCGTGGATCGGGAAGCTACAACCGGTCGTAAGTGCAAACCAGCTGCCAAGCCCAGATTGTGACCATGTGACCACACAGGTGCTGGGATGGCTGGAATTCTGAGGACCGGTCATAACCACCATTTGTTCAGTGCCATCATAACTTTGAACGGTCACTGAATGGTTGTAGGTCGAGGATTACCTGTATAGTACTGTATTTAGGGAAGAAGAGAAATGCCACTGCAGAGACTAATCTGCGCAATATTGGACTATGCCCTTAGTTTATTAATTACTGACAAACTGAATTGTCAACTTAGATTTGCATAAATTTTCATAGAGTGAAAACAAGAATTAAAACAGAAAAAAAAATAACATACACAGTCTAAAGTATTTTAGATGCCTGTGTTACAGCTTTGAAAGAAACACTGTTTTCAACTTGACACAGAACATAATGCTTTTTCTAATAAGATACTAGCCATCTGCAGTATCTGAGTTGAGTCCAAAAGTGGTGCCTCCTGACAGAAAGGCATCTACCATCAGTAGGGATTTTTTCATCTACCTCTATTCTCAAAAACTGAGCATGGCGAGAGACTGAACTCCTTTTCCATGAATAGTTTACTAACAAAGCACTGGAAGTAGCTCTTTGTACGAAATTGTATTATTACAGTCATTCAAAATATTCAACTAAAAATATAGATACTTCTCCTGCTCTATCTAATCAAATCTGAAAAAGGATTTATTTCATTCTCTAAACTGTTCCTTGGAAGAATATTTTCTAACTCCTTTTTATTAGACTTGCTTTTGTAAGGAAGAATGATAATCTATAAAACTTTGACATCTTTTGACAGGATACAGAAATTCTTCAGATTGTTCAGATATTCACTTAGTGTTCCAGTCATATGCAAAGAATATGCTGAACTGATTCAGATATAACATGTAATCATGATTTAACTTTGCATTCACATCAGCAATCTTATGCCTGCACATTAATTCTTTTCTGTGCCTACCATGAAATGCGTACGGTTGTGGTTCCTTTTTACTAGTCTAAATTATGGTTTAGCACCACAGCCAAAAAAGGATTTTAAATGAATCATGAAGTGTAAAAATTCAACCTTCATTAATTGACAGTGTTTGGAATTCAGGACAGTAATGCTCACCTTTTAAAACTGCTTTTTCTTGCAGTAGACCTGGTAGTTCTTTTAGTAAGACCTGCACTGTCAGAAATGCTAGGTTCAGACTGTTTACTTTTCTGAACACTGGATTGCAGAATTACTCTGGAAAGAGTGGGAAAAAGGTATTACATCAAACAAGTTAAAAACATATAATGCACAATAAGATTGATATGCTATATGGATTTCCACAAACATCTAAAAATTAGGGTCTTGTGAACAGATTTATTTGATCTTCATGGTTTCTTTTTAAGTCTTTTAAGTCTTCAGTGAAAGCATTAGTATTTCCAACTTGTTTGGTTTAGGGCTTCTGGGAGAGAGAAATAAGTTTTGTTTTTTTTTAATGTACCAGAAAGGGTTATAGAAGATCAAGAATCACTATATGCACACCCATATACTCATCTATCAAAATGGACTGGTGAGTGGAAAAAACCCCCACTGAGATCCTTAGTTGTGTGCCTGCAGAGAAATGCATCAACACACTGATTACATATTTACATATTTCACAGAAAGGCAAAATGAATTGATGTGCTACACTCTTGAAAGTTGTAAGCTATTAGAGTAGAGTTTACACTAAACTTTTTCCAAAAAATTCCCTCCTCCCTCCCAAATGTCAGTGGAAAGTAAGGTAATTAACAAAGGAATGTTTGCATCATCTGAAATCTGGAATAAGAAGAAATTATGTAGAAAAATTAAGTACTTGTAAAAGTTTCCATCCGCCATACATCACCAGTTTACATACAACAAATTCACTGTGAATGTCCACACAAAGGTACTATGAATTCAAAAGGTAAACTCAAAATCAGTTCCCTAGTTTTCACAGGTAATGGGAGTAAAATCACAAATTCAATAATACTATAGGCAGATGGAAGAGTAGCAGTTTCTGATGACTTCCCCTCCTACTTGCACCTACTATGCACCTGAAAATTTGCCTCCAAAATTTATTCTTTCTGCTAATGTGAATAAACGATTTTTTCCCCATTTGCAGAATGTCCATTCTGAATCTAGCCCAGCCTATCCAATATTGAAACCTTCCATGTGTGTTGACTCAAACTCCTGGAATTCTCCAGCCATTATGCCCACTGCTGAGAATTCCAGAATCTGAAGATCACACACCCAGAGGGCATCAAGTCTGAGGAAGGCTGGTCTAACTTATTATCCAGTGAAACAACTCTTTTAGAAGATCACTGCTGCCTTGCTATCCCATTGTTTTATTTTGTGTTACCCTCAACTTGAGAAGCAGGAAGAACTTTCTTCATTTTTTTTTCCAGCCACAAGAAAGGAATGGTAAAAAAATCCCTCTCATCAGCATATCTTACCAGATTAGTTTCCTTCACTCCTTGACTATATATGCTCATTATACTATACACTTTTATTCAAGACACTTCAGAATATTTTGCTATGGTAGGGTGTTTCAGTCTATTTATGTGAACAATTAAATAGGTAGAAAGCAAAAGTCTCTTCAGAAAAAAAAAATCCAGATGAATGGAGGACAGGCAGTTTTTGATTAAAAAAGAAAAGCTTCACACTTATTTCTATTGGTGTGTGTTTAATTTCTAGGTCCTGATAACCATTTCAAATGTAGAGAAAATCTATATCTAAATTTACTATTTACAAATTTCAGTACAGAATACTTTGGGTAGTAGATCTCTCTCTACAGGACGTCTTGGGAAGAAATGGCAAACTGAAGACAGCTCCACTGAGAGCAGAGCTGACGACTGTGGCAGAATGAAGAGCTGGTGAGTGAACTGGCTCTTCTGGACGAGGAGAGGACTTGGGATTGCCCACAAGTGCTCCAGACAGTTGCTCCTTGCGAGGAAACTGTAAGAGAGCAGTCGCCAGCAGTTTGAGAGCTCTGGATGATGAGGGAATGCCATCTTAGCCCAAATGATGGTTGGCGCCTTTATATATATATGAAAATAAAATAAAATAAAATAAAATATTAGATGTGGCAAGGAAGGGAGGGAAGGGGAGAAGATTTCTGATGCTCCCTGCCAGCTTTCCACAAGCAAAATCAACAGGGCAGGTGGCAGCAAGTTGTAAGTCACTCATACTCCCACTGCTTTTTTGCCCTTGGTCGTTCTGTTTCTCTGTTTACGTAAGGAAATATCTCTGAAACCATGACCTAATGGGTCACGGGTTGTCTTGTTCTTACACTAAAAACATGATAGGACGTGACTTTGAAGGTTGGACAGTAGAAGGAACCAGAAGGGATAAAGATTACAATTAAAGGAGAAGAATACTTAAATTTGACTTACTAATACAGAATGGAGCAAAATACTTTAACATTGGACATATTGAGGGATATTTGTGAACAATGGACCCAGAAGTTAATTTTAAAAGTGTCTGCTGTTATAGACAGATAGTTTTTAAAAGATGTTATGGAAGAGGAACATGTTTTACTTGATAAGACTGAGACTAATCTGAAAGTGGATTTAAAAATGATAGGCTACAAGAATGATATAGAAAAAGTTGCTACACTGGATATACAAATGAAACTGGCCGATGTCTTAATAATTAAAAGGGATACCAATAGAAGAGAATATGTGTAGTTCAGGGTTGAACTGTGGAGTACTTGGGGTTTTCTGAGCTTGGTTGTTTTCTTGCAAACATTTCGTTACCTGGCTAGGTAACACCTTCAGTGCTAGAAAGGAATGGGGTTTGCTCTCTGTTTATATACTGTGGCATGCCTTGCCAGTGTTGGTGGGGGTGGGGTTTTTATTTTTTTCCCCTTGGTAGTTCCTTGATTAGGGTATTGTTTACTGCTTGATTGTATGTCTGGTGATAATTTTGGT